TTCGAACTATTATACACTAAATTGCTTACCTTGCAAAATCCCTTTTTGATAGAGCTGAAATCCGGCAGCACATAGTCTCTCATAACCGTATTATCTTCACCTTTCAATCTGTGAAATCACCAGAATGAAATATACTATACACTATCCAAAAGATTTTTGAACTAAAAAAAAAAATATATATATATATATTCACCAGGGCTGCATTTATTTGATAAAAAATACAGTAAAACCAATAATATTGTGAAATATTATTACATTTTAAAATAAGTAACTTATAACTTTGTTTTTTTTTAAATATATTTTAAAATATAATTTATTCCTGTGATGCAAAGCTGAATTTTCAGCATCATTACTCCAGTCTTCAGTGTCACATGATCCTTCAGAAATCATTCTGATATGCTGCTCAAGAAACATTTCTTAATATCAATGTTTAAAACAGTTGTGCTGCTAAATATTTTACTGGAAACCGCGATACATTTTTTTCAGAAGACTTTGATGAACAGAAAGTTCAAAAGAACAGCATTTATTTGAAATAGAAATGTTTTGTAAAATTCTAAATGTTTTTGATCAGTTTCATGCATCCTTGCTGAATAGAAGTATTACTTTTGTGTGCTTGTGGGTGTATATATGTATATATGCACAACAATCCAGTTGATGCAAACTTACTGTGCAATCTCCATGTCCTTGTAGAAATCTTGTGACACATAACACACATCTTCCTTGACCTGATTGATCACATAAGTCTCATCCATCACATGCAGCTGCCTTTAAGACAAAATTGTCACAAGCTCAAGGAGAAATCTGTTGTAAGGAAGAACTGACAAAGAATATACTTACTTAAATGGCGCAAAGCCTACCTGTATGAAATGATCTCCTTCAGATGGTTGGTGAGCAGCTTTCCTCCAACATTTATCCTAGGAAGTGCAAAGAGATTTATAAAAAGATCTTCAGCACTTATAGAACTTTATAGAATTATATTGGGCTAATTAGCAGCTCACCTGCAAATGCCCTCTTTCATCTTTCTTCCCCTGCAATAAGGAACAATGTGCGTGAAGGAGAAGCTGCTGTCCACCACAATGCAACACAGCTCAGAGTTGTTCTCATGGAAGTATTGATGAGCACTCAAAGATCCAGCTGAAAAATTAAATGACATCATCAGATTTATAGAATAAAGACTTAGAATAGAATCCTATGGCTGAATCCTAGTACACTAAACTTACCATTAATTCTGAGTGCTGACTGGAACTGATATTCTTCAAATAGAATCTCATTCATGGTATCTTGAATTGAGCTGAAGTTGAAGTACGGTTCTGTTATCACAATGTTGGTATCCGCAAAGTCCACCTGCAAACAGGCTGAATATCTCATACTGTACATTCATAAAACGTGATATGTTTGTAATCATTCTAGTACCTTAAACATATCTTTTCCAAACAGATGATCC